CAGCTGCCTTGTTGGAAAACTATTACAGGCTTCACAACGAATACCCATTTAGTGAGCAGACTCTTCAGGCAGCACAGAACATTGTATCCTCCATCTCTGAAGCCAAGAAAGAACAGTGGATCAAGCTGATCACAGAAGATTTGGTTTAATAAGTACACTCTCCAAGAAGTCTAACCCTGGGTGGGAATTGGCTGTACTGACACTACAGTACATAACTGAAATAATGAGCTATCTGACTACAATATAGGCTAAGAATTTATACACTTTTAGTGCTGCTTAAAAATATGCTTGCGTAGTTATTCTGGAGTCTGCACTTGGACAACTAATGCTAAAACCTTAACCTGGCTAATTGTCCAGTAGACAAAAGGTTCCCCACTCAATGAGTAAAATGTGTGAGAGAGGTCTGGGTGCATGCTTGCCGAATGATTAACTGTACTAGAGATTGCACTTAACCTCTGAATCAAGGCTCCTCCATCCAAGTTGTTCACTGGTGGATGATGCACATCACACACTGATGTTCATTGTGTGTTTCTACCAGTGTCATATTACACACCTTTGCAATTCATTAAAGAGATCTCTTAATATCATCAGTACATTTGCTTTGCATCTTAAAAGCTGAGCTTACATGTAGAAGTGTACTTTGTTTTACAAAAATAATAAGGTTTCACTGCTGATTTCTACTTTTGAAAGGCTTTGTCTGATGGAAGAAGCTTGAGGAAGTAGGATAATTCTTGGTTATTATGAAAGAAACATCAGGACAAATTAGAAAAGCATATGAATGACTACAAGACTTCATATATTTATTAGAATCATAGAATCCTAGAGTTGGAAGAGACAACATGGACCTAAATCTGATTGCCAGTTACAACTTAAGTAAAACCATTAAAACAATAGGATTGTAAGTGTTGACTTCCAATGCCATGATTGATTCAAGAAGGTTACTCTAGTTGAGATTAAACTATTTGCATTTTGGTCTGGGGGTTTGCAGTCAACATATAATACGTCATGTTCTAAATTGTGGTGTGATAGGAAATATAAAGTTGGATCTATACTAACATTGAATACAGAATGCAGATTCAAGCCATTGAAGTATGAATCTACACTGCTAAATAATCCAGTTCAATGCAGTTAATCTGCAGTGAATTTTGAAGTAGCATTATATGGCAGTGTAGATCCAGCCTAATAATACAAAAGTGTTAAAAACCTCAAATCTTAAAGATGCTGTCTGTGAATAGAAGAGGTCTGCACAACCTACAGCCCTCCAGGTATTTTGGACTTCAGCTCCCAGAATTCCTATCCATTAGAACAGCTGACCTGGAGGGCCACAAGTTGTGCAGGTCTTGTATAAAAGTAAGGAAATGGTTTGTGTCTGTTTCTGGCTTAAATCCAGCCAAAGCAAAGTATAGAAAACAGAAACTGTAACAAGGCATCACAGCTGTTCTCTTAGACAAAAGTAGAAAGAAAAAGTGATGCAGAGCTAAATCTAAGATTAAAATGGAGAAGGGCTTAGAAAAGCACAGATGTATTGGTTTCCCAAATTTGAAGGCCTATTCGGCTTATTGGATGAAGGAAATATATACGATATCTGTACAAGTTAATAGAAGACAATAGATCATTATAAGAGCATTCACTGGATGGCTGAGTGAAAGACAGAAGCTGCATGGCTTTATACAATCCCTGTGGGTAAGAAAGTTTTATTAACCATAAAATATCAGTGAAACAGATAGAGGTTTACTTTCTTTAACAATAACTATGTTGAATGAATGTAACGTATGTAAAGGAACCCTAATGCTCAGCTAAGTTGAGATTTCATGTGAAACAAGTGATTGCAATGTACTGGGAATGCTGAAATGTTACCAAAATAGATAGCAAGGAAAAGCTGAGAAATCTTCATCAGATCAAATATGAGTTATGATGCCTCAAGGTGTGTAAGTTGATATTCCTTACCAATGCAATGTACTACCAGTATGGCATGCCTTGTGAGTGTGATAACATTTCCTTTTAAGAAGGCAATGTGCCTATATAAAAATAAGAGAGGTAAGCCTAGATGCTGAAAGGTCTTTGAAAGTAAATGTATCTAGATTAGAAATGTCTATGCTATGACAAGCCACCGCTAGGAATGAAATTGACAACATAAACCTACATTTTTACTATCACGTATATTTCCTAAAATTCTAAAGCTTAAAAGATTCTTAAGGAGGCAAGTTGAAGTTGATATTCCTACTGAAAAATACAATGTTTAATCATCATGGAAGCTTAAACTGATTTTACTGTATCTAAGGAATTCATCAGATGGAGCAAGGGGAAGGCTGGGGAAAGCAGAGGGGACCATTTTATCATGTTCCCTCCCATCTTTCCCCATCTTGAGGGATGGTCATTCCACATCCTTAACCATCCTTTCCCCATTTTCTCCCCTCTTAAGGCTGTTTGGAGTATGGTAACAACCTTACGGAAGTGCCCTTACGTCATGTGTGGGGGTCCCTTGGGACTGCGAGGGAGGGGGCTCCATTTCTGCAGTGCATGGGAACAGAGCCCTACACTTGTCTGATGAGGTCCTAAGTAGATGCAGATTGGCAAGCATAAGGTAAATATAGGGGTGAAGGAAGCACATCAGTTTCGACTATCTGTGTAATTAACATTTAATTATTAACTCACCCTGTTGGTGTTAACTTCTTCATTTCCTTTCCATTCCACTCTTGTCTCATGCTTGTGCAACAACAAATACAAGTTCTTATTTTGTTTTATTTGACACAATGTTTTATTTTCTTATGTTATTTTAACACAATGGAAAAACAGGTGGCCTAGGTAGCCTTGGCACTCCACACATTTCCTGTCCTGCACATAGAATTTTAAACAGGTCATTGTATTCCTGTAGAATGTATTATATCAGGTCCCACTTTCTAAATTGAACCAGTTTTTGCTGGATACCACTCATCACTTTCAGACAGGGCCCCAAAGTGGTATGATTTATATTCCAGGCCACCAGTTCAAAATGCTCCTGCTCAGGCATTAAGGCATTTATTCTTGGCCACTAAGGTCATAGCCTAAGGAGCCTGACCTGTAGAAACAAGTTTTTCAGAAATTTATAGCTTTCCTTATTTTCAGGTGGTAAGAAAAAGGCAAGGGAATTCAATATGTCACCTTCAGTGGTAAGAAAAAAAATAAAGGTATTATACTGATGTCTGGAATGTATTAGAAAGATAGATTGTTACATTTTTGTTTTGCTTGTTGGCATTGAACTGCTCAGATCCAGGAGGTCAGCAAACACAGAGCCTGTTGTTTTCCTTTCTTTGTTTGCTCAGCTCTGTCAACTGACTGTTTCAAGGTTTTCTAAGCTTCCTGCAGACTTGTCTCTTCTGCAAATGACTAGTCATTATCAGAAAACACTTTAGCTGATTAAGGCTTGCACTATGTGAACTAATGGTTTTCAATGTTCTATTAGAAAGCTGTTTGCACATACACATTCATTGATCTATTAGGGATATTTAAGATTTATCATATTAAAATTAAAATCAGTGATGAGGGGATCTGTTCATTTCACTTCTCTTCCTTATTCCTTCTTTAAACAATCTTGTGTTCTTTTCGTATATGAAGAGCTGGCTGCCTGAAATTGCTGGTTGAATTCTTTCTTAGGTTAGGTATCAGGTGTCATGAATATGTGGATTGACACCCAGTACTGTTTTACATGTAGAAGTGCAAAATCGGCATCCTGATTGTCCTGAAACACTAGGATACTTGGCACCCACTGGCTGTGCCTAAAGCAGTGTACAGTTGAAGAATAGTATGCTGCCCTCACCTCTGACACCAGCTCTTCCTTCCATTCAGTAGTCTTTGGAGCAGATACTGCCCTTCATGCACAGCTCACACATGCCACCAACATGCACTCCTGGCTGTGGAAAAATGGCTCCCAACATTTGGTGACAGCAACAGCCAAGTGCTTCACCACCTCCTGCACCTGGGGTGTCAGAAACCCAGTTAGGCTGGCAAGTGTACTCCCCCCCCCCCAGCCCGTCCAAGTTCTCCTTCAGTCCCAGCACTGGAGGAAGCAACTGACTCTGAAGGGCTATTGAAGCACTGTGGCCTCCAGGAAGGGTTTGAGCACAGAGACCAGCTGGGAGATGTCCCAGTTCTGTTTCGACATGGGGTGAGACCTTCACGGACAAGGCTATGGATTACCTTCTCCTACTCCACCAACTATTAGAACATGTTGAAAGTGTCCCCAACAGGTGAGGACATCCTGCAACAGCTTGTTTTGTGGAACCCTCTCCTTGACCTGCCTCTCACGAAGCAGACTTTCAGCCTTGACACGGTGGTGGAAGTGGTCTGTGATCAGGCATAAAGAAAAAAAATATAATGTGTCACAAGAAAGGCAATGGTAGCCATGGTGGGAAATTATATAGATTTCACAAGGCCAGGGTTTTACAGAGCTGATGGTGTTCCTTTATTTACAGAAGGAAATACAATCTTCTTGGATAACCTGAAGCATGGGCTGGAGACCATTCTTGCCTGGATCTCTTTTTTCTATGTATGTGTGTGGGGACGGGGGGGGGGGGACGGGGGACAGGACCCTAGGTAGATGCCTGAATCTTTTTGTGGCTAAGGGGAGGGGGGGCACTACCTTGGCACCGTTGATCTCATTATTTCATGATTGAGCTTCAAATAACTTTCCTGTTGCTAATGGGGTCAAAAATTAATATCCAAGACAAAATGTAGCCCTGTGACTGCAACATCATCACATTTCTTCCCCTGTATGATTTTTAACATCTTTGCCCAATGAAGAAGCCAGTGGAGCTTCAAAAGCTTGAATAGTGTATTTTGGTTGGCCAATAAAAGTAGCCATTTTATGGCTTGTTTTGTTGTCTTTGCAATTATACGTTTGCAGTAGGATTTCCAAATACAGAAAAATTAAATTCTGGTTTCTGAGTTAGAATCATGTTGTATGCAACAAGTTGTAAGAATTCTCCCTGCTCCGAGGCTATTCACTCAAAAGGAAGTGAAATCATGTGGATTTATTTATTCCTTCTCTGCAGTCTGAGACATTTTTGTGAAATATGTGTATGTCCTTATCATGACAACTCTTGCAGCAGAATTCTAGATTGTGTATAGTGGTTAGAGATGGATTAATCTTATCACTTTTTCTCTTAGTTTATTATCTTACAAGTATGCAGATCATTATTTTCACTTTTTGCATTTTTCTGACTCTTTATTGAAATTTTATTTAAAATATTTATATTCCGCCCTTCTCACCCTGAAGGGGACTCAGGGCAGAGCACAACATATAAATGGTAAACATTCAATCATATCAGATTCTGACATCATATCAAACATATATCTATATCTAAATCTATGTATATATATATATAGAGAGAGAGAGAGGGGCAATTATAACATTTACAATTATAAACAAACACACACAAAGAGAAAGATGTTCAATAAACCCTGTAACAGCTAATAATATATGGTGATTATTTGAAGGCTAAGTACATACATTTATATTGAAGAATACATGTTATAATAATGATTTCATCAGACCTAGAAATTAAAATTTAAGTTACAATTTTATGTAAGGTGTTGAAATAGTCATCCATGTGTAGCAATATATCCCTTTGAGCAGATAGTTACAGTTCTTTAATCACTGCATGAAAAGTCCCTAAATATGAGGGAAGTGGCTAAACTGAGAAAGAAGAAAGAGAAAACTGGATTTGCATTTAAAGAGAGAAGTGGCATTTTGATTTGACATATTAGCATCTTTACAGTATCCCTGTACCAGCAGAGATCTAGAGAAATTCATAAAAAGATTTTCTCCTTAAGATGAGCTGTCAAAGCGTGCCTCTATTTTGCATTCTTTTTTACCCCACATCTCTCTGATCCTTTGTAGATAATCAAGCGCACCATTGTGTCTATATACACCACCAACAGATTAAGAAAGATTGAGGTTGGAAGAAACAGATGGACAGAAAATCAATTTTATGGAAAGAAAAAAGTAGAAACTTCAAAGACATAATAATTCCAACCAAAAGTAATAATTAATTAATTAATATAATTAAACCAGTGATATTCTGGCTTGATCATGTCTGAACCACATTTGCACATTATATACAGGAGTCATCCCCCCACTCCCAGAAATTCCCCTCCCCTGCCTACTGTCATGATATTTCAGAAAGGCAGCTCTTTCAAGGGTTTAGCTGCCAACACAGCATAGATTATGCTCAGTGGGAATGAAAGCTACAGAAAATGCAAAGGTTTGGAGAAACTAAAACTTTATGACAAGTAGTAGTTGCACTGAAAGGAGAGTAGCACTGAGCCCTTTGCATTTTATACAATAATTTTATTTCTTCACAGTTGGCCTTCACATTTTATGTAGCCTTGACAGAAGAAGAAGGTTTCTGCTGCCCAGTCTGACAGAGTAGGTTATTTCAGATTGTTGGCACAGTGTGGTTCAAACACAACAGAATACCTTGGGGTTCCTACTCTGTGAATAAACATACACAGGTTGGAACTATTATACTTTCAGATCAAGCCAGGATAGGAAGCTGCAGTCTTATTCTACTAACAAAAGTTAGGGGCAGGCTGATCCAGTGTTTACTCCCTAGGATTTCTCAGGGCCAAAAGTTAAGAAGAAAGTGCCGAATGTCCACTTCTGTTTAGATAGAAATGGTTTCCATAGATATTCAACTATACAGTTATAGGACTTTGATATTATTGTAATTGTCATGACTGTAGTCATTGAAAGAAAATGGGAAAATATTTGGAAAATAGTGACACACATATTCCTTGAGTGCTGGAAAATCGAGGAGAATACTAAACTGACCAAAATTTCTGTAGTTTGTGGCTTAACTTTCTGCTTTTTTGTGCAGGAAACAGCATTTTTTTTGCAAAAATAATATTTCTGCACTCTAATTTTTGTGAGTGCACATTTTATGCAGTATATCTCTGAAGCTATTAACACTTTTTGATAGTGACACAATTTTCAAACAATTTCTCTCAGCAGGAAGGAAATTTCTAAAAGTACTCATTGCTTGATTTGAGTATGAAATTAGGAAAGTATCCCTGCATGGCAGCTGAACTCATATCAAACTGTTGAAATTGTGCAATGTGTATATTTTCCTGGAGATAAAACAAGGTCTCCTGAGTATTTGAAGGCTACACAACATTCCTTTATATCTATATAACACCAGTAAAATCATTTGCCATAAAAATGGAGCTGAATATGCAATATATCTATGTATCTGATTACAAACAGAACAAAACATTTTATTCATGACTAGCATATATGTTCAGCATTGCCCAGATGTCAGAGAAGCCACTGCCCCCTGCTTTCTCCTTTCTCCAGATCTGAGAAGTCCATTCCAACATTTGAGAAAACAATGTTCTTGTTTCTGCTATCATACATCAAATGTAGACCCTATTTACTATTTCTTTATCCATAACACCCAGCAAAAACATTTCTGATAGCACATTTTCTTCTTCATGAAATAAAAGTATAAAATGATAAAAAGAATTCACACCAGATAAATGTGTGTGTGTATAATTAACAAACCTAAGGAAAAGTATAAAACGATCAAATTTCACACCAGATACATT